TCTTTCGTCGGCTACTCACATCATCGAAGTTGCACAGCCACTTCAATTGGGCCAGCTTGCCATCGAAGTCCGGGCCATGCCCCAGCACATTGGGCTCCTCGTTGGCCGGAAACTGATGCGCGGCGTCCGTAGTTAGTTCCGCAGTTAGTTGGCCATCGAGCTGCAAGCACAGAGCAGAACAAAAACATGATTAGCGCTTAGCCATGGTTCAAGTTAAAAGCGCCGATTTGCATTCGATCTAAATTTCCGGCTTCTTCTTTTCTGCTTTTGAATCTGAATACTTAGTCAAATGTGACGTATTCGCAACCGATCATTAGAAACATTAAGTACTATATGTCTATATTTATATATTGTATATATATACATTAAATTCAAACGCGGCGCGCTCCTTAAAAATACTTACAATAAAAAACTCTGAGACGCTTGAGTTTAATTTGTTTATCCAGTTTATAATGCATCACAGCAATAACAACAACAGCAATCAGCTGCAAGTCTGTGTGTGTGTGCGGCTTAACAGGTTGATGACGTTTTTGTTTACATTTACAAATGTTGTTTTTGTTTTTTTTATTGCATTCTCGAAATGCTTTAAAAAGCTTTTTGCGCTCGCGCAAGCTGAGGCGGCACGAGCCTGTTAACTGTTAGGAAATGACACCCAAGCCAAAATGTTCGCACACGCAAACACAGCTGTTAAGTTGTAATTTCAAGTGAAATAAATATAATAGGCATATATATTATAGAATTAAAACAAATAAATTCATTAAAATTCTTTACATTATTAAAAGCTTTATTTTAGCCAAGGTATGACAACTGACAAACCGAACGCACTTCCTGCTCAAGAATGCCATCTGTATTTAATATTTCTACTTTACACACGTTGCAATAAATATGTACGCAGGTACATCAATTTCTTACGAATTTATTGCATTAACATTTTGTTAGGCACCTGCTCTTACGCTCGTGTTCCAGGTAAACAGCGCCAGCAGCTGAACGAAGTGCATTATCAAATATTTCAATATAAACAAAAGAACAACAAAATAGTTGCGAAAAGGCATAGAAAATGAATTTCAAGTAAAAATCGTTGCATTTGCAACTATTGACTGGACAAACAGATTTGAATAACAAGTCATCGATAAACAGGATGTGCCATTAATTTAGGCATTGACGTAGCTAGTTTCGTAACGTTTACTAAATCAATGCACTGCAGTTGGTTACTTAGTTTTTGTTGTTGTTGTCGTCGTTGTGATCTAATGAGCATCTACAAACATACTTCAGTCTATCTATGTGCACACTTATAATAATATATCTTACATTTTTCTTTTTATGGCTGCGCCCATTGCGTTTCAATTCTGTTGTTGTTCTCGTGGTCGTTATAACCGTAGTTTCCATTGTCGAAAACTCTTTGTAAACGATCGCGATGGTACAATGTTTGTTTACAAATAAAAATTATTTTTTCAAATTTAATTTTATATTAAATTGCGAAACTTTCAAAAATAATGTCTTTTTTTGCTTGGTTTTGAACAGCAAAACTTTATCAACCGTTTCGTTGAGAAACTTGAACGAAACTGTAACCAGCGAAATCCAATGCACGCCAAGTTATCTAAATAAAAAGCTTTGCGCGAAAGCTTAACTAGGAGACGCGACGCGTAGCGACGTTCACAATGCAACGATACAGTGAGAGACAGAGAAAGAGAGATAGATATGGCGCGAGAGAGTGCAGAATGCCCTGCACGCACTTATAACTAAAGAGAAGCTTTTTCCACGCGTGTAAGCTTGAGTAACGCTTTCAATTGAGAGCTATGCGAAATTTAGTTTAGCCGGCTTCAGCTTTTATTTGTTGGGCAAGCCGCCTACCAATTATATAATGAAGTGCGTACAGAGCTGAGAATTGAATGCGTTTGTATAAGACTGAATGTTGAAGCGACAAATGCTCAGTTTAATGTTGTAGTTTTGGCTATGAATGCAACATAAACAAAAACCCAAAACCTGTTTCAAGTTCGACTGAACTTGAGGAATTCCGCGTGAATGGAACTTTCGCAATGGGCCCCCTCGAAAGACAGATGTACATACATACATATGTATATGTCATATAATTACATATGCATATACACACATGTGTCAGTGTGCGTTATGTAAGCCTACAGTGATCGGCTACAGACACCCGTAATTGACCTTGACTCCATTTGCAAGCGAGCAAGTTAAGCTCTCTCCTTGAGCATTTTGCTTTGGTCTACAATTCGCATTTGCACGTGCTGTTGCCATATGCGATTAGCAACGGTCCATTCGGCTGCCTGTTATCAACTGTCTCGCTACTCACCCAGTTATCGTCATCCTTTGGCACTTTGCGATTATAGCACGAAGACGTTGTTGACGTAGTTGTTGTCGTGCTGCTGCTAAGCTCCAGTTCGGCCAAAATGTGAGCTGCGGCCAGACTCTCGTGAGGACGTGGACTCATTTTCGAATTGAAGCTAACGTACAAGAGGCAAATCAAATAGAGTCAAATTTAAAAGGTATTTCTACACTCAATAAAACTGGGCCGAAACCAGTTGCGGCTCTGTTGGCCATTCGCGGAACAGTGTGAAAATCGAGTCGAGCCTCTAAACAAAGGTCTACCAAAGTGATGTTTCGGGTGTCGTGTAAGCGTATGTGTGTTGCCAAGCGGTCGAGTAACAGAGAAAGCGATTGTAAATATCGAAATTAATTTAGATATACATCTAAATTAATCTGATCTATATGTAAACATGTATATAATAAGATATATATATATATATATATATATATATATATATATATATATATATATATATATATATATATATATATATATATATACGTATTATAAATAGTTACACGTGAGTGCTTGCAGCACATCGCATCAATATGATATTTCTCGTTTGTTTTTCGAATTTGTTTACATAACCAAAATTTGTGTTAAAACTTTTGAATTTAATCTCCAATTAAATTTTTATATCGACTGTTTCGTTTTTGTTTCCTTTTTGCGCACGTGCGAGTGTGAAAATTACAATTGATTTATATGACTTTTTACATTATTTAACAATCAATTGATTTTGATTAATGCACATTTAAGTGCACATCGACGATGGTATATAGATCTCTATATACATACGTTCTGTTCTAGTTTGGCCAGAAAGAACAAGAAATTCACTTGGCTGAGCAATCACGAGCCGCTCGAGAGGTTGCTAAACGTCAACTGAAGACTGCAGCGTCGCCGCCACCGGGCCGGGCAGCTCGCCAAAGATTTCGAGTCCCAAACAACGCGCTCAAAAGTCAGCAATAAAGAGAGAGAGCGAGAGTGAAGTATGCAAAGCAAACGATCGTTGGCATGGTGTGCTGCTGGGCACATTCGCTTAGTTCCGCGTCACGTTCGTGGGAGAGTAGCGAATGTGACGTCACAAGCTTTGAGTATTGCTTTTTCGCCAGGCAGTTGACTCGAACAATTCTGTGACGCAGTGCGCTCTGGGAGCGACATGATGCGCGCATAACTCTAGACGACCTGAACGTGAATCGGTTATCAAACAAAAAGACGACAAGAAAAAGCTTTACAAAAGTTTGGGGCAGCGCAGTCGGCGTTAACGCTGGCTTCGACGTACATCGTTGTGTATTAATTAAGCCTCTGAATTGATTAAATGTTTATTTAACATGCTGTAGCTGTTGCCAGCTTCTGAATACACGCATACCAATGCGTGGCCACGTCCATATGTATGTGTGCATGTTTAAGCTAGTGAATAAAAGTTCTTTTTATGCTAAATTCTTGCCCATTTAAGCATTTGCTGTTCATGCTGTCTTCGACATTCGCTCGTGATTGGCAATTAGTATAACCTTCACATTGACCGACTTTTAGACACTCTTCCATAAAATAATCGTGCTGTCCAAAATATGTAACTTATACATGAAAGCATACATTTCTTATCTTAGATAAAGAGAGCATATTGCAAAGTAATACAGTAGATCAAGACATGTAGCGACCATAATCCATTCTCACTTATTACCTAAATCCATTAAAATGGCAGCGAAAGATAATACGTTACATAACCTGCCTACTCATATGCTTATGTACACAGATAAATTGATAAACATAAAAATAGATGTTTGAGATAGTTGATCATGAATTTATAACCCTTTCAGGGTCGGTTACTCCTGCTATCTCTCTGTATCTTATCATACATTTGCCAAAAAAAACTGCTTATTATATATGCAGTATATAATATACAATATGAATCCGTAGTTGCCTCAAAGTGGTATTCCACACAAAGAGAATCTTAAGAACTTTCAAACACGATTCCTTAATGCAAACATGATAATTGTAGAGGGAAATATTTAAAACCTTCTATGCATTCGATGGATTGTTTCGAATTAATCTATATAAATGTGCCAGGCAAGATTTTTCATAAACGTCAGTTTATAAATAATTAAACTTAAATTAATGTAAATCAAGTACCGTACTTAACACACGTGCAGTAAGCACTCAAGACTCGTAGAGAATCCTTACATCCCATCAGTAGTTTTGTATAAACTATGTTAATTTCTTAAATATTTTATATATAGTTATCAGACAAACATGCATTAGTTTTACTGATTTGGGTCGAACATTGAACAAAGATTCTGTTTTTAATATAGCAGTTGCCAAGCATGCTGAATAATAGAATATTTCTGATGTGGAACAATCCAATATAAGCCACAAGTTTAGAGTGAGCTTCCTAATTAAAGAGAATTTCATATACATTTATGCTTCACTATTTAATAATAAGAGTTATATTCTATTTGATTTTCGAAACAAACAGATTTATGAAACACAAGCGTTTAACTTAAGGCAAAAACTAATTAAATAGCCTTTTGGATTAGACGGTTAGACTAAGGGAAATATTGATTTTATAGTGATTTATGTGACCTGAATTTTTGCAAGGGTTTGGCATCGTGATAGAAAATTGAATTTTTGTAATTTTTATTTTTCCGGTTCTTTAAATATAATATAATAATAATAATAATTTTCCAGCTGATCTTTATTTGTTGTTTTGTTTTTAAACTTATTATGTGTGGGATGCTGTGTTGTTGGTAGCTGTCTCGCTTTAAATGTTTATGCTTACATAATTCTTTTTTTTTCAGTAATTATTATTAAATTATTTTCTTTTCATGCTGCTGCTGCTGCGGTTTTAGCGGTCAAATAAACTTGATGCCAATTTGACAGTTGCTGCTGCCGTAACTGTTACTGCAGTTGCATTTGATTGCTGTTGTTGTTGGAACATCGCCTCCGTTCCACTCGTGGCTGCTGCTGCCGCTGTTATTGTTACTGTTAAATGGTGTTGTTTGTATGTTTGTTGTTGCTGTTGCTGCTGCTGCTGCAGCCTCAGCTCCTTTTGATGATATTGCTGTTGCCGTTCCTAATGGAGCTGGAGCTGATGCGAAAGCTGGGGAGAAGGCAGCTGTCACAGCTGTTGTAACTATTGTTAAATGTAATCTTTGTTGTTTTTGTTGTTGTTGTGTTTGCTATTACTGTTGCTGTTGTTTTTGTTGATGTTTTGTTTGCTGTTGCTAATTTTCTTATTGTTGTTGCTGTTGTTGTTGGACTGTTGTTGCTGCAATCTGGAACGCATCACATAGCATACTTTCTAGTCCACTCCCGTGCCAGCTCATTGTATTTTTCCCGATCGGTCTTATATATTCTGGCAATCTCTGGAACAAGTGGATCATCTGGATTGGGATCACAGAGTAGAGAGCAAATTGATAATAAGACTGCAATACGGAGAGAGAGAAACAGAAACATATTAGTAAATACATTTTATATGAATAAATATTTATATTAATGTGCACTTACCTTTTGAAATAGTTAATGCTGGCGACCACTGAGATCTTAATATATCGAGGCAAATGGATCCATTGCTGTTAATGTTTGGATGGTATATGCGTGTTGTAAAGGCCACTTTTGGCGGCTTAAAAGGATAGTCTGTTGGAAAGTGTATAGTTAAGAAAAATACACCTCCTTGATAAGGGCTGTCCGGCTGTAAATAATACAAATAAATTTTTCAATTAGAATATTTTGAAATCAGTTAAATTCCACTTTCGAGTTGAGTTTGGATAAGTTTTAGCTATGTGCAAATGGTCCTTTTCTATTCTAAACACAATTAATGAGGGAAAGTAAGGACTGATTCAAATCAAGAGTTGAAGGCGACTAAACGGTATTATTGAATACTTATGACAATTGTCCCTTTTTATCATAACTATGAAATTAAATAAATAAAATAAAACCATCATTTGAATATTACCAACAAAGTATCTATATTTAGTATATCTCCACAAACAATTAAAAAACAACTATTTTAACTAGTTAACCCACTTAAAAACAAAAAATATTTGCCCTATTTAGGCAATTAAACTATACATCTAAAATACGTAGAGATAAGATAAAACTCTTAGAGTTGACTTGCTAGAGAGCGAAAGAATCTACTAAGTTGAACAACAAAATAAAGTCAGCTGATACTTAAAAGCTGGTTGGGTAAACTGCATAAAGGTTAGACATATGTAAATCGTTTGCACTTGCTAAAGCAAACTGAGGTCACAAACTCTTAACTGCAAGAACAGCAACACAAAATAATCCAAACTTAGAGATAGTTGACAATCTTACCGGGCCCATTATTGTTGCTTGCCAGTGAAATACTGTAAAGAGAGATAAGAGAGTTTAGGATAAGTTGAAATCATTGATAGTTACATAAATTTATTAAATTGTTACGAAATAAACCAACAACACGCCCTGCAATGCTAAGGCTAAGCCCAACCGCAATTCTCGTAAGTGCGGAGAGGGGAGTTAGGTGATTAAATAAATGCAGTGCCCATTCTTTGCTCTCTTCTCGCGTTCTCTCTCTCTGCGATAAGCCCTCTCCATTTACCGCAAGAGTTAACCCAAAAGAACAAAAACAAACAATTGCCAAAGAGCCTTGGCACCGACTGTCGGCAGCGACGCTGCAGCTGGCGCTCGCAGCGCAGACTACTTGCCTAGCATGCCATCTCGCTTATACCAATTGTCCAAGGCTATTGCGGAGCTATTCGCTCAATGTCACACACAGCCCGGCCCAAGCAGCTTTTGGGCTGAGAACTGGGCCGCAACGTAGCAGCCAGCTGCGACGCGAGCAGAAGCAGTGCTCTAGCACATTGTATGTATGAGTGTGAGTCCGTGCCTATGTCTGTGTGTTTGCAATACAATTACAGAAATTTTATTTCTAGAATCCAATTGAAGTTTTGCCACAAGCCAAAATGAAGCATTGATATATCGTTTATCGATAACAATTATGTGGCTGCTGCTATATGATTTTATTTCCATTTATATAAGAGCGGTTTTTCTTTGTTTTCGGATTTGTTGTGCTGTGAATTTCATTTTTATCTGTTCAAGCAAATCAGAGTTCGAATGCTGCAGTTTAGTATCGCCACGTAATTCTTCCACACAAACCCAGCTGGTAATCGAGCACTGATAAGAACACAAAAGAGCGGAAGCGCAGTGTTTATTAAGTGTTCATGATATGGATGCGCCCATTTTATAAATGATAAATACGAGGATTATCTAATAATCTGTGCTAGTATTACTGATTATGCATGTAGAACAATTCTTTATCAAGTTTTTAATAGATAATGCCTAGTAAAATATAAATATATTAGAATCATCTTTTCTAGAAACGTGATTCAAAAGTACACATTTATAATATAAAAATATATGGAATCATTGTTCAATAATTACATTTGAACACTTAAACCACGTTTTAATAAATGTTGAAATTTATTTTTTAATATTAAGCTCTGAACAATAATCCTATTTATAATACAATAATAAATATAAATTAATAATATTTTTTAAAAAACATTAATTTTTCTTGAAATTACTGTTTAAATTAAATTGAGATAAACTAAGATTCAAATGCAATTTTGCTAAATTTCTCAGTTAAATTAAAATTGACACGAATATATTTTATATAAAAGCTTTGCGGTTGACTTTCTCAAATTCCTTTAAGCAGCTGTTAACTTTATTTTAACATTTTATTTTTTACATTGATATTGGATAGCTGTTAACTTGAAGTCGATGCCTTTAATTAAACTCTTTGAATTACTCACACGTCTGTCCAGGCGATGACGACCTCAAAAAGAAACTAACTTTAATTACACGATTTCACTTTTAAGTGACGTCATTCAGGTAACCTCTAAAGCAAACGAAGCTGGCTTAAAATGTGCGTGTGCGCGTGTGTAGACTTAACATTTAAACGCAAACGTTAACATTTAATTAAAGTCTGTAATTGCAAATTTTAGGCTGCGAATCGGTAAAATCAGAAATAGAAAGGCAACTTTGAAGTTGTTACAGAAGTCGCTCGATAACGGCAATCAGCGAACTTATTAAAGCGTGTGCTTTTCTGATGAAATATTATATTTCAGGGTTTAAACTTTATTCATTAAAAGTTTCAGAAACGCAAACTAGACGAATTTTTAATTTAAATTGTAGCACGGTTTTTGCTTATGAATAGAAAACTTTCTACCATAGTTTACTGTATGGAATATACATATATGATATGTGCATATATTAAAATAACTATAAAACTGCATAGTCACGTCCCGCAAGCTATGACGTGACGAATCAAATCAAAAGCTAACTTCTCTATGTAGAGATCTTTTTCCTATTTATAGAAGCTCAGAGAAAACGAGACGGGCAGAGAGACAGAAAGAGATGAAGCTGTTGGGGCAGCATTCTACGCACTGACGCAGTTACATAATACCTAGAGTGCTGATAACATAAGTATTTATTGTTCCATGGGGTGGACTAGGCAAGGCGTAGAGGCGTGGCATGTCGTATATATAGCTGCGTGGTATTATACTTACAATCATCTCCAACTGGTCCAGCTGAACATTGTGCAGGTGGATCTCTGCCCAGATCTTGCAGTTCCTGTGAATGCGACAAAGAGAAGAGAAATAGATTAAATTAAATGGCAATAATGAGTATCATAAATACAGTGAATGCTCTCTTCAGCGAACTGTTCCAGCTGTTTGGTTCTGTTTGGGCTGATGTTCTTGCAATTGTGCTGTATATATTTGTAAGTCTTCTTTTTCCAATGAAGTCTGTCCGGCTTGTTTGCCAAACGAACTGTCCGATTAAAGAGCATTCACTGTATATATACCTCCATAGACCGCATTATATAGAAAAATATTTAATTGTGAAACACTGCATGCGCGTTTCGTAAATACAAATTCATTCTGCATTGTTTTGGATTCCCTGCTATATAGATATACATATTTATGTATAATTCATAAATATATATATATATATATATTATATATATATATATATATATTTACTATACATTTACATGAACCATTTCAAATGATATGCATTTTAAATGCACAAATATTAAAAGGAATTTTAAGGACACGAAAATATGAACATTTTTATTCGCAACGGCCAGCGGCAAATGCGAGTGACGCGAAAATCAAGTTCGTTGGCCCGAACCAGAAGGCAGCACAGCACCCTGCTTGCTCTTTCACTCTTACTCCCGGCTGCTCTCTTTCTTCTTCCTCTCTTTTTCTCTCACTGCTTGTCTGTCACACGCACACAGCTGAGCGGCTGTTGGCCCAACCCTTCCCTGACCCTTCTTCTTCGCTACAGCACAGCTGCCAACATGGGGCGTACAAATAGGTGTAAAGTAAACCGGCAAAAAAGTGCTTACAGAAAAAATGATGAGCTGTGCGGAAGGTAGAAAAACGAGAGCCTTGGCACATTATACACTGAACGAAAAGCAAGAGAGAGAGAGGGAGGAGCTCAGTAAGTGGAGGGGTAGGTAAAAGTTTTAAAGCATCTCAGTGTATGGAAGCGGACGGCTGACTGCCTCTGTCGCAGTCGCAGTCGCTTTTGTTGTTGGTTCTCTTTGTGACGTTTCGCACAGCCATAAAACGATATAGAAAGAAAAATAAAATATTTCATTTACCGTCACATCGAACAGCAGAAATAAGAAAAATATGCGCGACGCACAAAAATAAAAATAGATTCGAAAGATTTCTTTTTTTTTCTGCCACATGCTACGCACTTTTCGACGTGTACCTGTTGAGCAAAAAATAATTACAACCTCGCAAAGAGCAAAAAAAAAAAAAACATGGCATAAGAAAACTGTTACAAAACGAACGGCAAATAATGCGAACGCCAAGTTCGAGGGGACTTTCAATGCGGCCACCTCCGCCGACGGCATGACTCATGCGATTGCCACAAAGACGCGCCAGCAAGTGTGAGTGTTTTGCTTTATAATTCAAATAAAAACAAACTAACGGTCGCTAGCACACAAATAAACATGTACACACACACATGGCTTGATCAGCAAACCCGCGTGAGAGAGATGGAGAGCGCGTCCGAGAGCCCGGCTTACAGTGTATATTTTCTTTTCTTTTCCTCTTATTGTATTTGTTCAATTCAATTTTGGCAATTCAGGCCAACTGGCGACTACGACTACAGCAGCAATACCAACAACTGCAACAAACAGCTCAATCAGCGAAACCTTGGCTATGCTAGAGAGTACAGCGAACGAGAGAGGAAACCAAAACAGTTGCCTGCTAATTGCAAGTTGTTAGTTGTGTGGAAGGGGGACACATTACATAAAAAAAAACAAATACAAGAAATAAAAAATTAACATCAATTCATTTAGCTTTACGGGCGCTTCCTCAATTTCACTAGCATTTCATTTTCATTTCATTTATATATGTATAAAAGTTTATAACAAAAACAGCACCTAAAGAAAAAATTCAATGGCCATGACGCTCGCGCTTCGTGACGCTGCAGACGTCAACGTCAACGCTAGCGTCGCTGCTTTTGTTGCTCGAACAGTCAGCAGACCCCCTTTAACACAAAAGCAGACACCACACACATGCATGCATATACATCTTATAATTGTATGTATATTGTTATGCTTGCGTGTGTGGCTTATTAGCAATTATTTACATATTTTACTGTCGCTACATTATTTAAACTTAAATTATGTTAAATTTTATTTCTGTAGTAATTATTTGTGCTCTATATGCTGTAGTGTTTTTCAACACTATATTCAGTTGCCATCGCACAGAGACACACACACACATAGAAATCCTCTTAGCACTGCCCCATTCGCTTAACATTCGCGCGAAAGAAAGAGCCAAATACAGTGTATGGCCAGACGAACTAGCAGCTGCCGCCGTTTTTACCGAGTACTCTTTGGGCGTCTCATGGGGGTGTGTGAGCGAGATGGTTAAATTCATATGGTGCTGCTCACTGGTTGTGACTGTGCAAAGACTTCATATGCATATACATGTTTATGTGCGTATGTGTGTTGGTGGGGGCTATGACGGTGAACCGGCCTCAAATCGAACTGTAATTTTCGAGCAATATATTTAAGCGTTTATAATGTAAATATAATATGGACTTTTTACAAGAAGTAAACGTTAAACGTTTAAATGTTAAACAGCAACATATCGCCTCGCGAAAGAGGGTGACTTGTCATTCCCTTGAGAGCGAGCGAGTCAATAGCTGCAGCAGATGGGAGCAGATATATAAACGGACACCGCAACAGAAATTCCAATGAAAATTATATTAAGCGATATGAATGCACATTAAATCGTTTGCATAGTCAATTGCACTTTGTCTGGTCCATTGACCAGGAGCAAGGAGTTGGGTACTTTCTGCTCTTAGTCACTGCAGAAATAATTAATAAAATTTACTCGCTTTCACACACGCATACTCACACAATGAGCATATTAATGCAATGTGTGCGCATACATATTTAAATGCCTGTATATGTATATATATATATAAATATATATATATAACAGGCAGCACTATTTCTGAATTATCAGTGCAAAAAGTAAGGTTAGGTTAATTTTATACGCTTTTACTTCATGTATTCGCCGTGTTTTATTTTTTGCTGGATCTTTCTGCGGCGCTGGCAACAACAACACGCACTCATACACAGGCACATACGCGCGTGTGAGTGCCCTGCTAAACTCATACACATAGAGATATATAAATATATATGATACTTATATATACACAACAGCGTGTATTGGGTAACACAGCGGAGCCCGAGAGCGCGGCGCTGAGACTTTGCTGGCCAAAAGCTGACCAGATGACGGCGGTGTTGACCAGGTGCCCGGCTTGCATGCATGCACACACACACACATTACCACCCGCACAATTGCACTCGTAGGCACACACACACATTTACTGTGTAACGGAAACAACGACTAATACAAATGGCCGTACACGTTGTCCGTTGCCGTTCCCAGCACACATACACATGCACAGGATATATTTCCAGCTATTCCTAATTAGAATCCCATAAAAAGCTGAAGCTCTCAATTCTTAGTGTTTTTGTGTTAATCATCAACTAAAAACTAAGCCTAAACTTGTTTTACTCTTTTAGCTTCTGTTGTAATTAATGCACGTCGTCATCGCCCATTTTTCCTTATGCTTCTTTTGCTTTTTGCACGTTTTCTTTAGCTCACGTATTCGGTTCGGTTCGGTTTTTTGTCTTTCTTTTCTTTGTACATTGCCGTTGTCGTTCCTACGTTTCACATTTCTTGCATAAATTTTTTTTGTCGCACAAGAAATTTCTATTCACATTTTTTTGGTTTTTTTTTTTCAAATCGAAACTTTTACACTTTTTAAATGCATACTAATGCGAAAATGATTTGTACAATATCATTTGATTATTTTTATCGTTTTTTCACATACCTTATTGATTCTTTTTAACGCCATTTTCTGATTGAAATTTGATTTTCTTGTGTGTGTGGTGTTGTGTTGGTGAGTGTGTATTAGTGTTGTACGTTTCTCTTTGCTTTCGATTACTTTTTGTTCTTTGTCGATTTACACAAAACGAGAAATTGATTGTTAACTGTTGAAAAATGCTATAGAAAAAACCAAACTAAACACAAAAGCTGCGGTAGGCTTTATATTTTCACTGTGTTCTGGCTATTTTCTGCTCAGCTTTTCTCCGAGGTTACAGTCTAGAAATATTGCAGCACTGCGAGTAGAACGGCGCCCCGACGACAACTACGGCTGCGATATTTTTTGCTGTTTAAAGCGCCGAGCGGATGTGAGTGAGACCGACACGATGACTAACAGCGGACAAAATGAACGACGTTTCAAAGTGCGCGTGTGTGACAGAGACGAGTTTAGTGTTTGAAGTGTCTAGGTGTTGCAAAGCGTGTGATAATTTTCAACACTCATCAACAGAGCAGCACAGCTATCTATGTGATACAGTTAAATGTCTGGCCAGATCGATATTATCTGCAAAGAGAGGAGAATAGACTATTTAATCTATGTGGCAACTCGAAATGAAAATATATGGGCATTTATATTTTAGGTTTTAAATAAATTATTTACTTACTTTTTTGCGACAGCAGCAGCAGATAAGACGAATCGAGGTTAGATGGAAAATGGAATGGGGCGTCGTGTGTGTTTTGAAAATTTAGTAATCGAAAATCAGCGTCAAAACTATAAACGAAGGCACATCGAAAATTCCAACCAACAAAAACTGTTTAAACCGGCTGCGACGCAATTGTGTATGTCCGCTGCGTTTTCTGTCTGCGCGCACTGAATGCTGTTAATTAATTGTTTCTATGAGCACACAACGTGTTGCTTGCTGCCGGAATGTTTTTACTGATGAATTTTGATGGAGATGTCCTATGTATTTGCTAATGTTTGAACAGCTACTCTGTTTGAAAATTTGAGTTGAAGTCAGGATCTGACCAGCTGTTGGTATATAAAAAATATTATTCGGTATTATTTAAAATTTGATGGGTTCCAACAGTGCTGCCAGACTGCTCGCATATAATGGTACTTACCAATAGGCTGCTTTAGCAGATAATGCCGCTTGTAAAGTTTGGCCACACTCAACTGTCTGCAAATTTAAACAAAAAAAGGAAATTAGCAAGCAAAGTTCACATGAATAAATCAATTCGTTTAATTATTTAGCAAACGCAACGCGTCAGTTTTGCACGTCTCAAAGCGACAAAACGTTTCGTATGCAATCAAACACAATAACACGGCTGCTGCTAAAGTTTTTACAGTTGTTGTTGCTGCCGATTTGCGAAGCGACAAAGTGCTCGTGTGTGCGTTTGTAAGTGTGTGTGTTTGTCTGTGCGACTGGTTGTGCATATATATGTGTGTGAAGATAATTTAGTTAGAGGTCATTTCTATGCGTAAGCATTTGCAACATGCGGCACCCAGTTGTTGATAGCGGGACCGTCGTCTTCACAAATCACACGAGCCACAATAACAAAGGACGCTCGCAGCTGTACGCCTACGTCCACGCCCACTGCGAAGCGCGCAGCAGCAGCAACGCTAGCTTTGTTTTATAGTACGCATAGCTATGCCAACAACAACAGCAGCAGTAAAATCAACTGAAGAAGAAGAAGAAAATTGCGATACGTTAATGGCGTCTGCAACTACAACAAGAACATCGGAGGAACAGCCACAACCACCGTCGCTGCCGTCAGCCTCGGCGTCGCCCTCAGCATCGCTGCAGCCAGCTTCTGATGCAATATCAACGGCAGCTGCGCGGCCAACGCCAACACCCTCACTGCTGCCTCTGCTGGCGTCGGCAGCCGCATGTAATAAACAGTTACTGTTCTGCCGGCGTTTTAAGGATGCGGCCGGTAGCAACGTCGACGGTGCTAGCTTTTTACGTAACTTTAGCTCCTTGCCGTTGTTCGTCTACGCAACGTCGCCGTCGACGCACGCCATTTCAGCAGATGGCGTCGGTGTTGCCAAGGAAGCAGCCGCCGCCGCTGCTGCTGTGTCGGCGTTTAGTCAAAAGGTAAGTTGAGCTTTCATTTTCTATCTTTCTTTCTCTCTCACGTTCGATATCTCTCATTGTAGTCGCTCTCTTTGTTCTTGAATTGCATAATTGAGCATTTCCGTTGCATGCTAAGGGGTGGCTTCGGGTTGTCTTGCGGTATTGCTTTTGGATGTGGTGGGTAGGAGGCAAAGCTTGGTGCAGCCATTGATCGTGCCGTATCTGCCTTTTTATAATTTATTATTATCTGTTTTATACTGTGCTTTCTGCATGGTTTGCGTTGCGTCGCTGCACTTGTCTGTGGCACCCATCCCCAATCTCTCTGCCTCGCTCTCTTTCTGAGTCGGCTGCGTTTGCGCGGAAATTACTGTTCTTGTTGTTATTGTTGTTTGGTATCAAACCGCTGCAACGGCAACGGCGTAGCTCGCGCCATTTTATGTTCAATTCGTGGCCAACAAAATATGCGTTTTTAATGTTAATAATAAAATTGTTTTATATGTATAATACCCTGTATTTATTAAAATGGGGTGTATTGATTCTGTAGAAGGCATATGATAATTATGTATATATAATTAGTAATTTCCTACATTCTAAGTAAACTGAAAAATATCTGATCCCCAGTTTTTGTACCAAGGATTGGACAAAGCTAAGTATAGGGTATTTGTCATTGGGTTAATCTTTACTTTGGCTTTTTGACTTGTTATTGCTGTGGTGGTGATCGCTCAAACGTGTCGAGCCGTCGTCATTAATGAACCCCACAGCAGTCAGCCTGAGCGTAACTGTGCTTTGCTTTTGTCTCGTGTGCGAGGGTGTGAGTGGGAGGAAGTCGGAGAGAGAGGGGGAGTGTGTGTGTGCAATATGCTATGAATATGCTGCCTACAGGTGCAGCCACTGACTGAGGTTCGTGTCTGCTCTCCTTTTGTTTTTGATTGTGGTTCGTGCTCTCTTTTACTCTCTCCCTGTATGCGCTTCACTTATGCTGCGCTTGTTGATATCGTTGCTATTGTTTGTGTTGCTGCTGCGGCTCAGTGACTTGTGACTTGCACGCGCTGCTGCTGCGGTCGCGGCTGCTGCTGCTGCCCATAAGCTTCATTAACAGAATACACCGCAAAGGCTTTTGCCAATCGACGGCCATTTTGAATTTGTGCGCTCTCACAGTTTGCCGAAAATTATTTAAGCTTTCTGTGATTGCACTCAGTTGCTTCCTCTTGATTCTTTTTTGACACTTTCTGAGCAGCGTCCCAATTGGATTAGTCGAGCTGTTCTCAAGTATAGCGCTATCCTTTTCGCACTCACACGCCCTTTTAATGCAATTATCTATTCTCCGCTTGTGTCCCCTTCGTTGGTCTTTGTTTATATTTCAAATTTAAATCAATTTTGTTTCTGATTGCAATTTAAGTGGCATGCTACAAGCGTCCGCTGTCGCCTAACCCTTGTCATAAAATATTCTACATACATATGTATGTAAATGTTTATATGTTTATTTATTTCAACCATTTGTGTGTGTTATGGATGCTCATGTGTGTGCGTGTCGTCTTCTGAAATCTTCATTGCGCATTCAAAATGTATCTGAATCAGAATATGTTTTTATGTCCCAAGTTGCAAGAAATCATCAATTGCTGTGGGCACCATTACCCTAACATATTTACAGTGAGCGAAAAGCTCCCATTGAAGGTGAGAAACTTGCGTTGGGATTGTTTCAAATCATCGATAAGTTATCGATTTAAATCGATTCACAAATTTAGTTGATTTAGCATGTTTTAGGATCTGTTGTTATCAAATCAGGTATATAAACTGCAGATCGTTAACATAATAAACAAAATTAACGGACTTAAAACATATCCTAGTCAGTCACTCCCGACTTCAACACTCAATATTGATTTTCTAAATAAATAATAAATAATAAATAATAAAATATACTTGATGCTATTTTTTCTCTCAGTGCATGTAACGCGATCATTTGATATGTCTGCAGACACCACCCCTTTCCCACGCCTGTTAAACCGTTCTGTTTACAGTTTTTACGATCAATATTTATATTACAAATGCCGATCTATGTTTTCCTTTTACCCAAAAGAGAAAATGAGGCATTTGTTTATAAATGGGCATTCCAAGTGCAAGTACTGAATTAATCGCTCTCTTAGGAATATACTTATTCCGAGTGACTTCTGAGAAAATTATGCATTAAAGATAAAAGAAAGCCTTGACTCGAATGATCAACTCTCCATTAAGCATCAGTTGTTAATTAACTTGAATATTAATAATGTAAAATTAAAGCTACATGTTCTGGGAGCTCTAAAGAACGTAAAGAACTGTTTAAGAAATAGATAAACAATTATAGATATGTTTTCATTATGTCTCCGGGCTTAAATCCAGTTTCGGTAGCTTGTATCTATTTGTTTATTGTTAATTATGGCATCTAGAATGGGAATAGAATGCAATAAAAGTGTTTTGACTTGGTTTGTGGCTTATCAAATTTCCATAAATATCAAACAAAATGCGTGCCATTAAATGTCAGATTCGACTGCCTTCCACCCTCCCACAGAGCTCGACCCCAGGACAGGTCATTGATTAAACGTTCCAGAGCTTTGTTGTTGGTTGCGATGGCAACGATGCGTTGCTTGTGTTGTGCCCTTCATGTCTCATGTCTTTCTCTCTCTACCTCTCTCTTTCTCTCCATCTCCGTCTTGGTCTCCCTCTATAGTTGCGTGTAATTAAGCAGCCAATGATAAGAACCAAGTGGACAGTGGGTCAGTTGTGACTCTCGCCCTCTCTCTTTCTCTCTCTCGCTCTCACAACCTATCGCCCTCTTTTTGTCGCCTTTTGTCTTTTCTTAGCTCTGGGAGAGGCGTCCATTGACGCATTTGTTTTGCTTTGTTGCACTTGTCGCTCCTATTGGAGTTGCTGTAAGAACTAATAAGCCAGTTGGTCAGTTTGTTTTGTTTGGTTTTCTGTGCGCAGTCCATTACCCTTTGCCACAGTTTGTGGCGTTCTTTCTTTTGATTTCTTTAAGTACACTTAATTACCTGCTAATTGATAGGTTTGTGCCGCGTAATTGTTTGTTGGCATTTGTTTACCTACAAATTACATGCATAAACAAATAAAAAGAAACACGCTTGGAATTGAAGCATTACGTGAATATCCATAAGATACAACTGCATCTTGCCAACAGTAAGCAGCTGCCGTTCTTGATAATGTTGTTGCTGTTAGTAAAATGTTAATGTTGCTCTCTTCACTGCTAGCTTTTATTGTCTCTCTCTGCATTCAGCGCACTGCACTCAACAGACCTTGCAGAACTACAAGCACTGACAATTGTTAACTCAAGTGCTAGCACTCTCGCACTCAGACTGGCATTCGTGCAGACCGTTGTGAGTCATGCTTAGTGCTAGCCGAAGTGCTAGCCCTAGTTTCACTCAACTCAATTCCACTCGTGATCTCTTAGTGTATGCTAACAGTGAGCGGGTTCCCTAACATTGTGAGCAGTGTAGCCATTTTGAGTATAACAGCTCTGTAAATATCATAAAAAAAATGGAAAAACTTAACAGCTGTTGTTGTTTGTATTGTAAAATTTGCCGTTGAAGCGTGCGGTTCGGTTTTTTTGCGTTGCGTACGTTGCGCTACGTTCGATTTGGGTTGCACTGAAAATATCTGTCAGATACACGCGTCTTTTAACCTGGTGCTCGCGTCTTGATTTCGTGTGCCTTGAAACAATTCTTGTTTTTATATATATATTTTTCCTGCTTCCTTTGGGGCTTTTTTTGTTTTCACTGATTCATCAGCGTGTGTCGTCGTCTCACGTTGTCATTTCGCTCGAATTCGTCGAACTGAAGACGCGCTTCGATCGTGTTGTGTTCTACACGTAGCCCGACAGACGTCATAAATTAA